AATAAGCCTCACTCTTCTTTCTCCCATCATTTTAAACCCTGAACCTCATAGAATTAGAAACACTGTATAAAAACAAACAGATAAAGGGTTAAAATATTACAAATAAATAGCTAAAATAATTTTCCCACCCCCAATCACTCCTAACAAACAGACACCAAACATTACTTAAGTGTCCAAAATGACCAAAAAAATATGGAACGCTTCACGAATTTGCGTGTCATCCTTGCGCAGGGGCCATGCTAATCTTCTCTATCGTTCCAATTTTAGTATATGTGCTGCCGAAGCGAGCACCAAAATTTTTTTTAAACTTTTATGTTGCTTATGCATCCAGAGCTGTCTCCTTTCTCCATACCTATTCAATTTCTATGCTGAGAAAATCATTTTAGAAGCTGGACTATACAAAGAAGAATGTGGCATCAGGATTGGAGGAAGATTCAGCAACAACCTGCATTGTGCAGATGATACAACCTTGCATGCTGAAAGTGAAGAGGACGTGAAACACTTGCTGTAGAAAACAAGATTACAGCCTTCAATATAGATTGCATGTCAAAATGAAAACAAAAATCACCACTGGACCAATAGCTAGTAGTCTTTCAAATTCCTACCAAATGCACAAGGTTATGTAAATAAGGTGTTTGTAGACACCTCAGGGTAGTTGGATAATTTACTAATCATTTAAATAAGGTACATGGCATCCTTTTAGGGGTTTGACCATCCAAGCCACATAAGTTCGGGTGAATTGACAGCACGTAACACTTTTAAAGAATATTGTGGCTTTATTATAAAATTGATTTTTTTTTCATTCTTTCTGCTATCATACATTGAGTCTGAAAGTCATAGGACTAACGCATGGTGAAACTAAGACTGGAACACAGTCTTAATTCTAGTAAACAGCACTTTTAACATTAGTTATCCCTAAAGGTAATAATTTGTGTTGAGCTACAGCTCTTTAATACCTATTCTAAGTAATCATTCAGGTAGAAGAGCTAAATGATTACAGCTTATCATTTACTCATATTACAGTTGTTTATAACATCTCAGTTATTTCAGTTTTTTGCTTCACATAAAATATCTTGTAGCATCTTTTAACAGGTGAGCATAAGCTTAATACTCTGATTTAGGAGTGACCACAGGATACAGGCAGGTCTTTTTCTCAGATGTGTGTTCTCTAAGGCAGTCCTTTTCAAAGTGACAAGTTTGTGTTGAAGAAGCTGGTATATTGTGGTTATATACCATTGAGTTACTGACCCTCCAGTGAGGTTTCAGCAACTATAAATCTCATGAGAGGAGATTGCCCATCTCTCTCCTGAGTTAAAAATGTGTGCACACCTAATTTTGACTTTGGAAATCAGAGGTGGTTTTTTGTTTCATGGGTGAGTGCTAGAGTTTATTTTCCTTTTTCATCTGTATTACCTCTCCAAGGCTTATCCTGTGTGTAATCAAGATATTTTAGTTTTTTCATAAATAATTTAGAGATAAGGTGTTAAAAGTGCAGTTTTCTAGAATTAGAACTGTTCTGATCCCAGTTTGACTGTTAATCAGCTCTGTGATTTTAGTATGTATTACATCTCAACATCAAGAAAACAAAGGTCCTTACCACAGGGCCAATTCTCAACACTATGATAGATGGAGAAAGGATTGAAGCTAATAATGATTGCATCTTAGATCACCAATCAACACCCTTGGTACTACCTGACAGTAAATCAGGAGACCTATTGCTTTGGATAAGTTTGCTGTCAGAGACCTCTCCAAAATTCTGAAGAGCAATGATGTTAGTTTGAAGTCTAATGTGTGCCTGATTCAGGCCATGGTCTTCTCAATCACCTACTGCACATCAGAGACATGGACAGTGAATAAGGGTGACAGAAGAATTGATGTCTTGAGTTGTGCTGGAGAAGAGTGCTGAATATCCCACAGACTGCCAGAAGAACAAACAGATCTTGGAAAAAATGCAGCCAGAGTGCTCTTTGGAGGCAAAGATGGCAAACCTTCATCTTTAGACATCGAAACCGGTGAGGCTATTCCTTGGAAAGATGAAAGGTCAGTAAAGGAGAGGTAGGCTCTCACTAAGATGGATGGACATTGTAACCTCAGTAGTGGGCTCAAATGTGTTACATCTGATTAGGATGGCACAGGATAGGACAGAGTTCAGGTCAGCTGTTCATAAGGTTGCTGTGAGCCACCCTCAACTTGGCGGCACCTAACAACAAAATAACCCACAGTGTTACAAGTGATTTACTGCTTTTCTTACATGCCACTCTGGGTTTTAGATCTGCCTTTATTAGATTTATTAGAGGTAAAATGCTGTGTAAATTTTATCATGGTCTCCTTTCTATCAGAAAGATTTTTGTCATGTTTTTCAAAGACTATTGTAAGTCCTATTTTATGCTTAAAATTACAAGAACTCAACAACACTATAGTGGGGAATACACCAAGTTTTCAAATCAATTAATTTCAGGGAATATTGTACCAACACATGTCTGTTTAGCATTCTGAAGTTACATAGATAGTATAGTAATAAAAAAGTAATCCATTTCCATCCTCTAAAAAAACTTTTGTGGATATGAGTAAAGTGATCTACCGCTGCTGTCTCTTGAACCCTCTCATCTTCAAAATCCATTTCAGTGCTCACTTGGAGAACAGAGCAGAAGTACAGCTAAAGCACAGTGGGGGAGGCGTGCTGGGAGATTATAGGGCAAGGAGAATCATGGAAAATCTAAGCCAGACTTGCCAGTCAATTTTGTACTGCATTTCTTCTGCTGGACAGATGGATCCCACATGGCTGGTCATCTCAGACTGTGCACATTCTAGGTTAGTCTTATTGAGCTGAATAAATACTATTTCTTAAGAATGTCATGGAGGAGAAATTGAGAAGCTGTGTATTTAAAGAAGATTATGAACAAAATTTTTTCTGTTATTCCTGTTAATTCTTAGAGGAAATGTAAGAGATAATTCCCAAGCTTTGATTATAGTAGAAAATACTGCTATTAGAATATTTTCAAAATCAACTGAATTTTTAAATACATGTATGTTGTTATTTTTGAAAGATATGGAGTCTATTCTGATTCATAATGACCTCGTGTGACAGGAACAACCACAGGACTTTTTTGGCTGTAATCTTTAGGACAAGGCAGGCTTCAAAACTGCTGTACATACGGTCACCATGAGTCACAGATGACTCAACGGCACATAACAATCTTTGTAGAAGTACATTACCAAATCTTTCTCCCACAGACTTGAATATATATTGCATATACCTCTGACTTACACACAAGCAGGTCATAGGAGCGTTTTACAGGGTGAGTCACTTGACACATTCTTTTTGAATCCAGTAACTATAAGTGCTGATTGCTTTGCTCAAATCCTCTCACTCTCCTGCTGGAGAATACAGTACTCAAGGGCACTTGCTCTTACCAATGGGCATCTTTTTATTTTGTCTATTTAGAGCTATAGACAAAATACTGCCAACAAGCTGCCACTTTGAATTGCTTTACAAACTACCTATTTAAAGTTTTGGACAGTTTGTGCTAATAGGATTCCAGTTGAATTGTAGAAACATTTAGCCAGGCTGGTTGGCTGTATCCAGAGTTAATTGGAACTCTGGCTAGTGCAAATGACAGATGTTTTCATCAGTGTTTATTTTTCAAAGTTAAATTACCTTATAACTGAAAAGTTGAAACATTAACACAGCCCAATAATCATATCTGTTTATTCTTCCTATGAGCAGTATTTTGTACTTTATATCACAGATGATATAATAATTTGATTATTTGAGCTTGATTTTAAGTTCCCTCCTAGGTTAGTGAGTGGATTCAGTGACTGGGGTAATCGGGATGGGTGTGTCAGAGGCAGTGCGATTGGCACAGGATAGAGCAGGGTTTAGGGCTGTTGTACATGGGGTCGCTATGAGTCACAAACGACTCGATGGCACATAACAACAACCACCACCACCTGGGTTTATGGTTATATAATTTAAAAAAACAAAGCTAATGAAGCCTGCCTTTTGTAATTTAAACCCCTTAGTTTCAAATACCAATTTTAATCAAGTGTCTAAATAGTAATATACACTAGAACTCACAAATAAATGTAAATGTGACATTTTCCTTCCAAACTAGGCAAAAATAAAATTTATACAAAGTTGTGGTCAAAGTGTGTATAAAATTATATAGTGCCTTTTGCTAAATTACTGTATAGCTTTATTCAATAGCAATATATTATTCTCTCAAAATTTTAAAATATATTTTTACCTGGATACAATAATCTAGTTTTTGTTTCGTCTTTTCCCCACTAGAGTATGGCGGGGAAGAAGAACAAACTGGGGAGGAGGGTAGAGAGAATGGTGCAGCAGTGAAGGAATGAAAACCCAAAATCCCTGTAAATGTTCATTAAAACTAATAAAATTTAATAATAAAAAAAATTTAAGTATGGATTTCAAAATTTAGCATGTTAGGACTGAAAGTGCTCAGCTCCTGGGCTGAGGTTGACTCACCTTCAGTAGTGGGGAGTCCTCCCTGACCCAGGTGGGAATCCTGGAGAGCACTAAAACATGAACGGAAGAGTCTTACCAGGGGATCCTCAGGGCTGGGTTTCAACATCGTCGGTGGGACAGATCAGTATATCTCCAATGACAGTGGCATCTACTTCAGTCGCATCAAAGAGAATGGGGCTGCAGCCCTGGATGGGCGGCTTCAGGAAGGTGATAAGATCTTCTTGGTGAATGGCCAAGACCTACAAAATCTTTACACCAGGATGCTGTAGACCTTTTTCGTAACGCAGGCTATGCTGTGTTTCTGTGAGTACAGCACAGGTTACAGGTGCAGAATGGGCCTGTGGGACACAGGAGTGAAGGGGAGCCAAGTGGTATTCCTGTTGCCATGGTGCTGATGCCAGTGTTTGCCCTTACTGTGCTTGCAGCCTGGGCCTTCATGCGATACCAGCAACAACTTTGATAAGCTTGCTTTTCTCCACTGTCCCCTGATGAAAAGAGATTTTTTTCCTTCACCCTCCTCCCCTGCTGCCTTTTCCTCTCGCTACATAGTCAACACATGATTTGAAATGACTGATACTCAGAATGTTGTTCAAAATCTGTGCTCAACCTTCACTCTAATGAGAGAGTAAAGGTATTAGAAGGAAAGCAGAAGAGAAGATATGCTTAGAACAAATGAATTATATATATTACTACATCTATCAATTGAAATTGAGCTACCACCCAAAGAGGGATAGATTCAGTCTTCCTATCACTACAGATGGTAATATTTTCTTAGCTGGCATAACTCAAAGGGTAGCTGGAAGAGATGAAAGGATTTTAGTGATCTTCCTTGGACACTTTTTGTGTCCTTTATTTAATTTCTAACTACACACCTGTGTGCCTATGTTAAACAGATAGTAATGAAGGGAACAGTTTCACTTTATAAAAAAACTGCATAAACATACATGTAGCCTTAAAGCAATGAGACGATTATACTCTGGTTTCTGGGTTTCTTACCTGAGGGATGAGCTTGAAGAAACATTTTGAAACGTACACTATGGGAGTCAATCTTTAAAGGGGATGCTCACTCAGTAATTTCAAAAAAAGACAGCCCCAAAAAACTGAAGCAGCTATTTTTTAAAGAGTTTTGTAATTTTTTGAGTGAAAATTTACATATTTCATTCAATAATTCATACATGTTTTCTTTCCGACATAATTGATTCGTGAATTAGAACATCTGATTAGCTTTCATTGTTTATTGCTTTACCCTTCACCAATTTATTTATTAATTTTATTCCTCTTTCTTTCTGTTTCCCTCCCTGGTAACCATCCAAGAATGATTCTGTATATAAACTTTACCTTTGATTCTTAAAATAGTGATTTTATACCGTAAAGTCCATTCTTTTGTGACTCAATCATAACTTCTTTGAGATTTATCCATGTTGTTCAGTTTGAAGAAACATACCCCTTTTCGTAATATTTACAATGCAGTTGAAGTAAATTTGTATAATTCACAAGAAATATGTACATGAAAACTTAGAAATCTAAATATAAACTTATTGACCTCTGGGGGGAAAAAATAGCATTTTAGATTGAACATGCACTGCTATGTATTCTTTCTCAAAGTGATTTGTTAAAAAAATCATCTTGGAAACCAAGAAGCACAATTCTCAGTTATTTTAAACTTAGGAATTCCCTGTGAAATAGGGATGACGTTTTAAAATAGCATTATATTAAACATAGCTGACCCTCCACTGCACCTTCAGAGGCTGCAAAGCAATTGGTGGATTAGAATGAACAGTGTACCTTTGGCTTTGCCGCTCAGCCCCTAACCACTAGACCACCAGAGCTGTGGTTAGGTGCCATGAAGTCACCTGCAACTCATTGTGAGCCCTGCCCAACCCTGAACCAGTCTCACTGTCTCCAACACAGATACCCCACAACCCCAGTTACTGTGTCAATCCTCTCATCTGAGGTCTTCCTCACCTGCACTGTCCCTCAACCCTTGCAAACATGATGTCCTGCTCCAAGGACTAGTCCTTCTGGGCAACATGCTCAAAGTCTGTGAGATGGAGTTTCAAAAATCCTTGCCTCCAAGGAAAATGTGGTTTCGCCCTCTCCAGAACAGACCTTTGTGTTCTCTTGGCAAGTCCATGGTATGTTCAAGACTTTTCTCCAGCACAAAACTGCAAGGCATTGATGATTCTGCTGTCATCCTTTTTTTCCACCTCTCTAAGGCATAGCAAGTAATTGGAAAGACCATGGTCTGGATCAATCTCTTCTCTATCATGGTGCTACCAATTGGCCCAGTGGTAAGAATCTTCATTTTCTTGGTGTTGAGATGCAATCCATATTAAAGACTGAAATCCTTTCTGTACCAAATACCTCAGGTCCTCCTTAGTTTCAGCAAGCGAGGTGTGTTATCTATATAACACAGGCTGTTGATGACTCTTCCTCCAATCCTGCTGCCACAATCCTCTTAAGTCCAGCCCCCTGAATTATATGTTCTGCATATAGATTGAAAAGATATGGAGACTGTGTGCATCAAAAGCTTTTCCCAGTAGCATGAAAAGAAAACCTACGGGTAAAAATTTGGCAATACCATATCAGACAAGGGTCTCATATCAAAAGTTTACAGAATCTTAGAGGACCTCCATAAGAAAAAGACTGATAATCCAATTACAAAATGAGCAAGAGACATGGAAAGACTTTTCTCAGAGGAAGATATTTTGATAGCCAACAGACACATTAAGAAATGCTCAAAATCACTGACAATAAGAGAGATAAAAATCAAAACTACAAGAAGATACAATCCCCCCACCAGTAGCAGTGGCAAAGTTTAATAGGACAGCAACCAATAAAGGTTGGAGAGGATGTGGTAAGAGAGGAACTCTCATACACTGTTGGTGGGATTGTAAAATGGTACAACCACTCTGGAAGGCAGTTTGACACTTCCTCAAAAAGCTGAACATAGAAATTCCATCTGATTAAACTATTCCACTTCTAGCAATATACTGTAAAGAAATTAGATCTGAGACACAAATAGAGATTTGTACACTGAAGTGTTATTCATAATTGCAAGAAGATGGAAACAGTCCAAACATCCAACCACAATCGAATGGATTGATAAATTGTGGTACATTTACACAATGGAATGCTATGCAGCACTCAGAAGCAATGATTTAGAAAATTACTGCATAACTTTGAAAAGACTGGAGGGCATTATGCTGATTGAACCAACTCATTCTCAAAAGGATAAATACTGCATAGGACCATTATTTTTTTCTATAATTATATTTTATTAATTTTCATAAACATTTACAAAGATTTTGGGTTTCCATTCATTCACCGCTGCACCATTCTCTCTACCCTCCTCCCAGTTTGTTCTTGTCCAAATGCCACAGTGCTTGTCAAAGCCAGTTCTGATTAATCTTCTTTGTCAGTGTGTCCTTTGCCATTCCCTATCACTCCTCCCTGAGAGAGACTTCACCCTGAGTCATAAGGAAAAGGGGACGGCGTATTCTCTTAGCTACTTCCTGCTGAAAAGGGACGCTGTGGGTTTCAGGGTGAAGATCTTCTCTCACTACTCTAAAGGGCCCCTTTGGCAGTAGGAAACAAATAGACTATTATGGAGACTAATTTCGGAATTTAGATTCACTCTTATTGATTGTGCAGGACCATTATTTTGAAACCAGAAGGATAACTAGTAAAACATGTATAGGGATCCAAGGAGGGATGAGGTGGGAACAGAGAAGTGAGGGTGGGCAGGGGGGCAATCACAGGGTTGCACAGTTTTGTAGGGGCAGGCAGGTAAAGGAAGTGGGAAAGATCTTATGGGGATCTGGGGTGATAGGTCATGAAAGGCATGGTTTAGTGATTGGTTTTATAAAACAATGCATGAGAATGGTTATATGATACACAATGTGAATGAAGGATATGTGAAACAGTGTATATGAACTCTGTACACAAACCAATGTAAAATTTAAAAATTAAAAAGAATTTTAAAAAAATAAAGATATAAAGAAAGGACTTATCCCTGATGCATTCCTTTCTTGATTTTGTACCATGCAGGGTTTCCTGCCTCTGTTCTGGTGACTGCTTCCTGGTCTTGGGTTTCCCATGAGCACAATCAAGTATTCTGGGATTCCCATTTTTCTCAAGGTTCGCAACAATTTGTTGTGTCCACACAGTCAAATGCCTTTGAATAGTCAATGAAACACGAATAGACATTCCTCTGGTACTTACTGCTTTCAGCCAAGATCCATCTGATACTCATCGTGATGTCCATAGTGCCATGGCCTCTTCTAAACTCAGCCTGTATTTCTGGTAGTTCTCCATTTATAACCTTGAGTAGGGCTTTGCTTGTGTGTGATATTTCCACACTCTGTTGGGTCATCTTTTTTTGGAATGGGAATAAATAATGGGTTTGTTCTAGTCATTTGGCCAGATTTCTTGGCATAGCCTGGTGAGCATATTATTGTTGTTTTTGTTGTTGTGTTGTTGTTAGGTGCTGTTGAGTCGAGTACAACTCATAGGGACCCTAGGAACAAAAGATCTGAACCCTGTTCAATCTTGTGCCATCCTCACATTTCCTGACACACAAAAACCCATTACAGCAGTCACCTCATAAATCCACCTGGTCAAGGGTCTTCCTCTCCTTTGTCAACACTTCATCCTTCTCAGCATCAATTCCCTCTTTAATGAATTACCTCTCCTAGAAACATGCTCAAAGCATGTAAGGCAAAGCCTCATCATTCTTACCTCCGAAGAGCACTCGGCTGCACCTTCTCCAAGACATATTTGTTTATTCTTTTGGCAGTACATGAGATGATCAGTGCTTTTTTCAAACAAGACAGATTAAAGGCATCAATTCCTCTGTCATTCTTATTCACTGTCCAGCTCTCAAATACATAGCAAGTGATCAGAAAGACTATGGCCTGAATCAGACACACCATAGTCCTTAAACTGAAATTGTTACTCCTCAATAATTTGGAGACGTCCCTAACTGCAGATTTTCCAAGTGCAATGCATCTCCTTTCTCCCTGACTGTTGGTACTAAGGATGTTAATTGTGAATCTTAGCAAGATGAAATTGTTGACCGTTTCATTATCTTCTCCATCCATTTTGATATTGCCTATTGGTCCAGTGGTAAGAATCTTTCTTTTCTTGACATTGAAATACAATCTATATTGAAAGCTATTTCCCCCAATCTTCTACAACAAGTGCTTCAAGTCCTCCGCACTTTCAGTGAGTAAGGTTG